GGTGTCCCGGATCAGGGTGGGGGTCCTACTGGGGTACCTGGCCAGCCTGGGTGAGTGGCTGATGGCTGTTTGCAGGCTGGCCACAGCTCCTTCAGGGTGTGGGTCCCCGCTGGGGTGCCTGGCCAGTCTGGGTGAGGGGCTGATGGCTGTTTTCTGGCTGGCCACGGCCCCCAGCCACCCAAGCTCCCAAGTGGAGGCTGCTGGAAGCAGGTATCTGGGATTTATCTTCTATAATTGAAACTTTGTTGCCTTGAGCGGAGCACACAGCTGCTGGCGGGAAGCTTGGCTTCCTCTATCGCCGGGGCAATCAAGCCTCCTGCTTGCTCTAGCTCTGTGGCTGCAGCCGCCATCTTGGTTGGGTTAATTTGCATATAGTCACTCTGATTGGCTGGTGGGCGTGGCTTTGGGCATAGCGAAGGTACGGTCAATTAGAATCTTTATCTTTTATTAGTGTAGATACCTACTGTGTCACAAAAGGAAACCAGTAGTGGACTTGGAATGAGATTTGGCTTCATGTCTGGAATCTGCTACTAATTTTCTGGGGGATCTTGTTAAGACATTCAGTCTCAGTTCTACAGCTGGTTGTCTATCAGAAAAAGATGATCAGATTTCTGATTCATAAATTATTGTTTTGTAGAACAATGATGTTCTCAAAGATAGACTGAAATTTTGTCTGCTAATACTGAATTGTTTTTAATACATTTTATTGATTTTTTACAGAGAAGAAAGGAGAGGGATAGAGAGTTAGAAACATCGATGAGAGAGAAACATTGATCAGCTGCCTCCTGCACACTCCCTACTGGGTATGTGCCTGCAACCAAGGTACATGCCCTTGACCAGAATCGAACCTGGGACCCTTGAGTCTGCAGGCCGACGCTCTATCCACTAAGCCAAACTGGTTAGGGCTAATATTGAATTTTTTTTTCTTATTTGCAGGAAATAATTAATAGCTAGGATTTGGGCTAATTAAATCGTCTAAAGGTGACAAAAACAACTGTTTCTCTCTCCATCATCTTTCTTTGCTTGGGAACCAGGCCACCTCCCTACAGGTTTATCCCCTTCAGAGCAATTTAAATGGAAGTGGAATCTCATCTCTCATTGAGCAATTTCCATTATTTTAACTCATTCAGATAAGTGGGGGTTTTGTTACTATTAGCTCATCTGACTTATCATAACTAAGGAAGATAAATTTATTAATTTTAAAGAATAAAAACTTATCTTCAGATCTTATTATTCATACACTAGAGGCCCAGTGCACGAATTCGTGCACAGATGGGGTTTGGCTGGTTTGCCCCGATCGGGGCCAATCAGGCTGTCCAACCTGGGGGAGGGGCTGCAGGCAGTTGGCCAGCTGACCCACCCCCTGGTCAAACTCCTGGTTGAATTCCTGGTCAAGGGGACAATTTGCATATTAGCCTTTTATTATATAGGATATTAACTGAATCTAAACATATTTACTGTGGCTTTTACTTCCCTCTCTTCCCATATTGTACAAAGATATTCCTTTAGAAATTTTTCCCAACACAATTTGATACTTGATCTCTTTTTCCCTTAATCTCCTGAAGGTGAGGTGCTCACAGAAAACTTTTAGAGATTTCCCTTTTTCACCATGTGCAACATTTAATTTTAATCATTAGTTTTATCCTCTTTAGAGCTATTTAAGTGGAAGTGGTTTTATGTACCACAAATAAAATATGTGATTCTTTCTGGTAGTAAAATGTTCATGGTTCATTCAATAAAGTTAAAAATATCAATATATTAGAGCATTCTCCTCTCTCATCCCTGCCCCCCTCCCAAAATAATCATTGAGTTCTTCAAATAAAACCATCACTTACAAGCAAATGTGAACAATACTGGATTCGGTGACTCTATTACTTTCCTATTGTTGCTATAACACATTGTCACAAACTTAGTGGCTTATAAGAGCAGAAATTAATTGTCTAACAATTGGGCCAGAAGTCCAAAACAAGTCTTTTTTAAAAATTTGTCTTGCCCTAACCAGTTTGGCTCAGTGGATAGAGCGTCAGCCTGTGGACTCAAGGGTCCCGGGTTCGATTCTGGTCAGGGGCATGTACCTTGGCTGCGGGCATATTCCCAGTGGGGGGCGTGCAGGAGGTGGCTGATCGATGTTTCTCGCTCATCAATGTTTCTAACTCTCTGTCCCTCTCCCTTCCTCTCTGTAAAAAATCAATAAAATATATATATAAAAAAATTTGTCTTTATTGTTGACAGTATTATAGATGTTCCTTTTTTTCCCCATTGATCCCCTCCATCTTGCACCTATCCCTCCCAGGCCTTAACCACACTATTATCTATGTCTATGGGCTATGCATATCCTATGTAATAAGAGAGAAACATGCAAATTAACCATCCCTTCACTACGCTCAAGCCATGCCCACAAGCCAAGCCCACCAGCCATGCCCCCCAGCCAATCTGAGTGACTATGAAAATTATCTGACAAAGATGGCGGTTAATTTGCATACACAGGTGTCAAGCACGCCAGAAGATGACGGTGGCCATGGCTGTGGGCGGCCGGAACTTTCGCTGGTCGGGGAGGCGCGGCCGCCAGTGCCTAGTCATGCCTACGGACTCCCAGGACTTTGCCAGCAGAGAGCAGGAGGTTTTGAGGACTTGGCAGAGCAGTAGACAGCTGGACATAGAGCAGAGCAAGAGAGAGAGGGCGGCTTGGAGGGCGCAGCTCCCTCTGTCACCCCAGCCTCCTCATCACAGCTGTGGAAAGAGGGAGAAGGAAGTCCCACCCCCACAGAATCAGCCAGAATCAGCCATTGGTCAGACAGTTCTCAGTGGCCTAATAGACAGGACTCTCATTCACCTGCATCTCAGACCACGACAGTAGAGAGGTGGGACTGTGTCTAAAGAACAACTATTGATACAATGTAGCTCTGCAGCCGAAAGATGCTGGCATTATCGACAGAAAGTGTCTGCAGAGCAGCCTGTGTCAAATCCTGAAAGAAGGCAGTGCCTGCAACAGGATGTATCTGAACACCTGCTACTGGAAAAATGCCGCTCTGATGCCGAAAAACACCGGCGTTATCGATAGAAAATGTCTAAGGACCAGCGTGCCTTTGAAGTGGAAAGAAGGCGACGACAGAATATGTTGAGAGATCAGTCATCAACAAGTACTACCAATACCAGTAGGAACTGCCTTCTCAGTGAAAATGGAGTACATGAGGATGCAATTCTCGAACATAATTGTGGTGGAATGACTGTTCGATGTGAATTTTGCCTATCATTA